AAAAAAACGTGTGAATAATAATTACGGAAAATTCCTTCATATTGTAGATTGTGCACTATTTTTTACAGACTTTTCTTAGAGTGTAGCACACTAACTACTAATACACTGCTTTAAAGTATAATTGTTCAGAATTTTACTTGTTTACTAGCTAATAATAAAACAATTTAATTGTAATCGTTCAAAAATGTGTATGTTTTTGATAATTCAATGTATTTAAAAATAGTTATTTATATTTTATTGCTACGAACAAATCTGAATTAACATACTGTATATAAAATATATGTTTTTGCTGAGATTTGACAATTTTGCGTTGTGATTACGTAATGACGTCATCGCGCAATGACATCACAACATCATTTAGCAACTTTTAGCAACAAATCAACCTTCCTTTAGCAACTTCCCCTGAAAATTAGTTGGCAACACTGTATCCACAAGCCCCACACACCGTCCAGAGCTAAGAAAGAGACAGTCAGTCAGAGTCAGAGTCCCAGATAGCACACGCACGTCTGCAAGATGTCTGTTAAAGATCGCTTCATCTGGAAAGCATCTGCTGTGTACAAACAACTGATAGACATCTCTAAGATGTCAGTTTTACATACATTCTAAACCATAAACATCTTAAAGGGACAGTTCACCCAAAAATGAAAATTCTGTCATTAATTACTCACCCTCATGTCGTTCCAAACCTGTAAGACCTTCGTTCATCTTCGGAACACAAATTAAGATATGTTTGATGAAATCCGAGAGCTTTCTGACCCTCCATAGACAGCAAGGGAACTATCAAGTTCAAGGCCCAGAACATCGTTAAAATGGTCCATGCGACATCAGTGGTTCAACCGCATGCGTCGTGGTGCTCTCGATAATGGTGGTAGATGATAACTCGGGGGAGAAGAATTGTTGAATAAAGTTATTTTAATTTTTCTGTGCACAAAAAGTATGCCAGATAGCACACGTACGTCTGCAAGATGTCTATTAAAGATCGTTTCATCTGGAAAGCAGATTCTCCTCAGATGGAACGTCAAAATAACCGCTGAAATTTAAATGGCAGACATTTGCACTTCATTGTCGTGACATGTACACTGAATAAAACTAACATATATTTTTATTATTATTATATTAAGGTCACATAAACATTGTCTTAGAAACTTTTTACTTTTACCGTTTATTTTATTTTGTTTTTATTTATTTATTTAGGCCTATTTTACTTTTCAAATGCCCATATTGTTTTACACTTGTACGAAACAATTGTGGACATGTTTATTGTGTGCCATATATTTAATTATTTGCATTTGAGACTCATAAAGTTCTAGTTATGAAATTAGCATTACCACAAATTATGTATTTGCTATATCTACCCTTTGCATAATTTACCATGTGCAAGCTACAAAGCCAAATATTTACACAATGATTATTTGTACATTAAAACTGTAATATTTCTGATATGAACTCAATATTTACCACTTCCCTAGTCAAAAAAGGAAGTAAACAACCAACACAACACTATTTACACATTAAAGGTGCAGTAAACAATTTCTGAGAAACACTGTCGATATTTGAAATCAACACACAAACAAACCCAGACAGATACGATATAAATAAAACATGAAGGATGTTTATTGTTGACATACATCAGTTTCATATGAAAGTACTTAATTGTTTTTAACTCTAAATGACCATTTCATCTTGAAGATATTCTTATATCCTCACGACAACTGAGAGCATTAGAAGGCTTTACAATGACAGTGCTTTTTTACTTTGGTTTGACCACAATATCAGCGACTCTGTGCACTTGAGTGAGCAGACGGCAGTCCATTGATGCCAGGAGCTTTTGAGAGCCGGCGACGGTGGGAACAAACTTCTCCGTCAGTGTAACCATCGCAAGCTTATCCACATTACTGAGAGACACATATATATTATAAACTTTCTGGAAGATTTTCACTCTTTAAATAGAGTTTATCATATTTAATGTAGTACAGCTCATACACATGAAGCAAATTTAAAGTACATGAACATGTCGCACCTCAGAATGCTCTTAAACACTGAAAGTCTTACCCATATGCGATCTTCCTAATGCTCTGCATTCCCAATCCCTCTATACGGAACAAAACGTTCCTCAACACTTGTGACAGCGGGTTCTGGAACGTGATTTTGACTGTCAACTCTTTACCCACCACAGCATCCCCTAGAGCCTGAAACAGTAAAAAGACAATCAATGGATGTAGATTTTTTAAATTAGAGACCCTTAATTCTCAAATCTCGTGTGCAATTCAAATATTGCACATTTAGATGCATTGCACCAGGTTGAGCATCACTGTGCAAAACCAAGAATGAGATTTGATAGTAAGAAAGATGTAAAAGTTTTGTGCTTGTTAAACGTCCCGAATAGACTAATGGATGATTGACGTACAGTGATGATGAGGTCTGGTGTGCGCAGTCTGAAGTTGAACTGTGTGGCCAGAATCTGCCGGGTCTCATTGACTCGTCCGGTGACCGCGAGCATCAGAGCGCCCTGGTCCACCAGATGTTTCATGTACTCCTTATACAGCAGAGTCCAAGGAATAGTCTTGGCTGTAGGGAGACAAGGGAACATGGCATTAATGACAGTGATAAAACAATTATAATTAAATATTTCATGGTCATTTTGCACAGTACTCCAGTCTTCTTTTGCTTGCTGCTCGCTGAACACCACTGAACACCAACTGCAAGCAGCTCTCATCATCAAGTGATTTTCGACAAATGCAGCTGCTAATTAACAGCTCCACTCACTCTCTTGCGGTTTGAGGGTGACAGGAATCCGGTCCTTCTTCACAGTGGATTTCAGCACTCCAGTGTAGTTCATGACCATCACCTCATATAGCAGACTGGCCGTGCGCTGATTTGAGCTTTTGTTCTTCAGGGCGATGGAGAGTTTGGCGTCTCCACCGATACAAGGCCCTGTCCCATCCATGACGATCTCAACACTCACGTCGTTGCCGGTGGGGGATGGATACAAAGTTGGTTTGGAGCCGAAGCGACTGGCCCTTTCCACAGCAATGCGCTCCTCCTCTGAACCTGACGGACATGATCAGAAGGTAAAGAGGAGTGTGAGGTTTGGAGTATTAACTCCAAACCTATTATTCCAAACCCTAGCGTGCTGCTGACATAAGAATCCAACTCAAAGTTATCAACATAAATTGCTGCTTCCAATGTTTTCTAATTTTCAGTTTCCTACCCTTATGAATTACTATAAATAAAACAAAAAAAACATGGTTACTATAGTTAAACCATGGTAACCACAAATTAACCATGGTTTTGCTACGCTAACCATAGTTTAACCGTGGTATTTGTACAACTTTGGTTATACAAATGGTAATCAATACAAAAACATGGTTACTACACTTTTACTATAATAAAGGTTAATTTTCATAAGGGTTGTTGGGGTCCCCTTGAAACATTTCCCTTACGAAAATTAACCATGGTTTTATTATAGTAAAAGTGTAGTAACCATGTTTTTTTACGCATTGATTACCATTGGTATAACCACAGTTTTACTACAAATACCATGGTTAAACTATGGTTAGTGTAGCAAAACCATGGTTAATTTGTGGTTACCATGGTTTAACTATAGTAACCATGATTTTTGGGCTTTATTTGTAGTAAAACCATGATTAATTTTCATAAAGGTATTTTATGACTTAATTTTAATATTTTGTCATGAATTCTGTGCATTTTTTTAACCATGGTTTTATTATAGTAAAAGTGTAGTAACCATGTTTTTTTACGCATTGATAACCATTGGTATAACCACAGTTTTACTACAAATACCATGGTTAAACTATGGTTAGTGTAGCAAAACCATGGTTAATTTGTGGTTACCATGGTTTAACTATAGTAACCATGATTTTTTGGCTTTATTTGTAGTAAAACCATGATTAATTTTCATAAAGGTATTTTATGACTTAATTTTAATATTTCGTCATGAATTCTGTGCATTTTTTGTTACTATTATAAAGTGGGTCTCATTTTTCATCTTTTGGTATATTATCTGTTTTTTATGTGAAGAACCTTGTGCTTGTTGTAATGCCTTTTTTAGTGTAAATCACTTTGTGCTGGATTTCTTGCATCAGTGATATTATCGTTAACTAAAACTAAAACCAAAACATTAAAAACATTTTTGTTACTTGAAATAAACGTTAACTGAAAAAAAACAGCTAGTTATGAATGCAACATTTCACATTTTAGTTTAACTTGAAGTACTAAAATGATTATAACTACAATTTCAAAAATGATATATATATATATATATATATATATATATAGTATTTATAAGGG